GTACTTGGTATACCGGTGTCACGCCGAAGATCTCTAATAATTCAAAAAAAGGAACAAACAAGATTACGAAACAACAGTTACTCAAGTTTGGAAGGAGAATAATAGAATGTTGGTTTGTACGCTGCGATATTATATAGTTCAACTTGCAACAGACATGGTACAAAATGCATATGGACAAGACTTATCAGCTGTAGAGCGTAGTAATGTATTAAACAATGAACAATACATATCAAATGAGTATATGTTTAATGAAGAATAAAAAGTGTAAACTTCATTGAAGAAGTATGTGTGGTTGTTTTTTTGTAATCAATTTTATGTACGGATGAATATTCCCCTATGTAGTGACATGTAATTTTATGTCTATGTAATGAGTTTACGTATTTATTGTTATTGGTGTAGTGATAATGTCTTACTGCAATATAATTTAATGCAATTAAAGTATGAAACGTCAACATACGCGTGACTTAATACACCCAGGACCTGTTGACCCATCAATATTATACTTACAAGCATGCCATCGTTCCACACATATATGGGAGGACATACACGTATTTTACTAACTACAATACATATATTACACTTAAAGCACAAATGCATTTAAATGACTTTACGTAATTATTAAAGGAATTAGCACCATTGAAGTGCTATTGAGCTGAGACTACTATGTGTTGACTGCGACGTCCCGATGCTAGGGTATTGTGTTGTGTTATGAATGCCGGATTTTATGGGATACATAGTATTGGGTTTGTACAGCTCGATCACCATTTGGTCACTGCACTAGTGGAGCCATGGAGGGTGGAAACACATACATTCCATTTACCCATCGGTGAGGTGACGGTTACATTGCAGGACATGACCATACTTTCTAGACTCCCCATTGACGGTGATGCAGTGATAGGTGTTGACACACAATGTACAGTGCATGAGTGGTTAGATTATTGTGACCTGCATTTAGGCATTAGACCACCAGACACTACTTTCTTTGGATCTCGACTTAAGATGACTGCGATGGCTGCTATATTTGCTAAGTCGCTCTGAGATGATGCTGATGCCATCACCATTGATCGATATGCCTGTGCCTATGTTCTGCTTCTCCTTGAGGCTTACATTTTTTCAGACAATTCCCAAAACAAGGTTGGGCTTCTGTACTTACAGCATCTCGAGGACCTAGATGTTTCTGGGAGACTAAGTTGGGATAGTGCAGCTCTAGCGTGCCTGTATCGTGAGATGTGTCACGCCACGGCCCTGGACGTATCCGATATTGAAGGACCACTAATTGTATTACAGGTACTGTTTACTTTACATGTAATTATAAATACATGTATTTGTCCCACCAAGTATCTAAATATTATGTTACATTAAATTGAATAGTTGTGGGCATGGGAGTGACTTCCACATATCCGTTCTAAGAGAGTACTACCACATCAGGTAGCAGCGACATATATACCCGATGTGTTTCACGTTCATAAGCTTTTAAGGTTTTTGTTTGGGTTGTGTTTTTTGAACTTCATTAAAAGCGGATGTGTTGAAACCACTTTTATTGAGAAAGCAGATATACTGATTACGTTTTATAAAATGAAAGCGTTTTTCACAAGTCCACTTTCTAATGAAAGTGTTTTTAGCAAATCCGCTTTCTAATGAAAGCGTTTTTAGCAAATCCACTTTCAATGGAAAGCGTCAAATATCTGTAATATTGAAAAACGGATTTGTTGAACACTCTTTTATGGAAAACGGATGTGATGATTACACTTTTATGTAAAAGCGGAATCAACAAAGCTACTTTATATAGATGACAATGGATTTGTTGATTCCGCTTTCTAATAAAGTCGAACTTGTTGATTACACTTATAAAAAGTGTCGTAAATTGGTAAATAAGTTCAAAACTGCGATATATCGATAATTAAGTTTAAAAAGTACTGTATTTTGGTAATAAACTCCAAAATGTTGTGCATGCGCTGCACAAGAGTGAAAGAAGCATTTCAATCTCCAATCACAATACCAATGCCACCTGGTCCAATATGAAGATTGCGCTACCAAAATTCACTTTAAAGACCCCAGTGGGGGAGAAACCCATGCCATGGACCTGTCCCAACTCTATACCGGAGAGGCTTTAGATTGAACTAGAGGTGGAAAATTGATGGGTTATGTTGGTTATGCACTGAGTTAAATTGAGTTGGGTGAAAATAAATTCAATTCATTTTTCACTTACGTATTAAATAAGTTATAATGAATTAGATTTATAATAGGTTGAGTTAAATCCATTAACCCATAAAATAATTAAAACTCTTAATATAAACTCATACTAATACATCAAAAATACATACACAATACACTATACACACACTAAATACACTAAAAATACACACACTAATATACCAAAACACACTCTAATACAGTAAAAATACACACTAATATACTAATACAAAAAGCACAAACACATTTAATAAAAGTCAAAATACACATACACTATCCACCAAAATACACATAAATACTAGTTGGGTCAACCCATGGGTCATGGGTTTATTCACAGGTTGATCCATGGGTCATGGGTCGGGGCAGGCCGTGGGCAAAGACGCATGTATTAGTGTGTGTGTATTTTTTGTGTATTATTATATTTATTTGATTTATTACTTGTGTTATTTAATAGAAAGATTAAATACTTAACTCAATGGGTACTAATTTATAATTTATTTTTACCCGCTTAATTAAAATAAATCATATTACCCAACCCATTTAGAACCCGTATTAATTAATATAGGTACTCAACTCATTTATTTATGAATAAATTAAATGGACAGGGTAATGAATTAAAGATTGTCACCTCTAGATGTAGTTGTTGTGAAATGGTTTAAGAAATAAGATTGAGAAAACCACAACTTGGTCCAGCTCCAATCAAATTCTAGTTTTATTATACCATATTGACCAAACCATCACCAGAACCATAAATAATATAAAAAAAAAAACGTTTAATTCAAGCTTTTTAGTCCTAATTAGAGTTTTTGTTCGATTGAGATTGCATGAGATCGGTAGGATGTCGTGAAAGATCTTCCATACGAAATAATTTATCATTTTCTGATCATTTAGATTCCATCTTGTTCCCGATTGAGCATCTAGAAAAGAGGAGTTCGGCAAGCATGTTTAGGGAGAATTACACCTAGATCCTCTGAGATTTATTACTTAATCACACAGATTTCCTGATATTTAAAATATTACACACAGATCCCCTAAAGTTTGTACGCACATAACACTTAAACCGCTGTTGTAAATATATCCGTTAATAAATTACACTTAGACCTCCCAATGTTTGTGGATATATACTACTTATACTCTTTAAATTTAAAATATTATACTTAGGTCAAAAATATTCTAATCAAATATAAAATATAAAATATGTTAAATTTTACAATCAAAATTTATGTTCTATTGTATCATTTATTGAAATAAAATTAAAAATAAAAATTCAATTTTTTCATAAAAAATTATAATTAGTATACAATTATATTGTCTACTAGAATTTAATTTTGTCGTTTAAACGATCAAATTAAAATATCAAACTACCTCAATTAAATCTAAAAGATATTGTGTCCATTACAGTTTGGTTCATTGTTTAATTTTTTAGTTTTGTTTTAATAGACAGTATAAATATATACTAACTATGTTTTTTTTTTTTAAAAATAATTTATTTTTGATTTTATTTCAATAAATAATATAATAGAACATGAATTTTGGATGTAAAATTCATGTTCTATTATGAATGATTTAGACCCATTGTTTGATTTTTTTAGTTTTTTTCCAATAGATAGTATAATTGTATACTAATTACGATTTTTTTACGAAAAAATTAAATTTTTATTTTTAATTTTATTTAATAAATGATACAATAGAACATGAATTTTGGTTGTAAAATTTAAAATATTTAATACTTAATATTTAATTTAAGTATTTTTAGTCTAAGTATAATATTTTAAACTTAAAGGATCTAAGTATTATATATCCACAAACTTTAGGGGAGTCTAAGTATAATTTATTAATGGATATATTTACAACAGAGATTTAAGTGTTACGTGCGTACAAACTTCAGGGAGTCTATGTGTAATATTTCAAATATCTGAGTAATTAAGTGACAAACCTCAAAGAGTTTGAGTGTAATTCTCCCATAATATTTTATGGTCTCTTTGGTTGAGAGGAAAATAGGGTGACAAATGAGGAGAGGAAAATTGGATGGACAGAAAAAGTTTCTCCTTTTTGGTATGGAGGGAAAATAAGAGGGAGTGGAAGCTTGATTGGAATTTCTTTCCCTCCGCCCATCAAAACTCCTTCTCCCCCCCCGCCCAAAAAAAAAAAGGGGCAGAAAAGGATTGAGAAAGTATGAACTTTGGGGCAAGAGCATAGACTTCGACCATTTTACCTTTTTAATTTCATATACAACAAATGAGCCTAATCTTCAAGAAAGAAGAACATTAAAAATAACATGTGTTTCTATCCAATTTGAGATTAGCAAAGAAATTTAATTTTACAATAATCTCTATTGTTGTTCTGCAAGAAGAGCATGATTAAAAGCGTTCAGATTTCTAGACCCCATCCCACCACGGGCCTAAGGGACGACAAAGGTTATCCCAGCATAGCAAGTGAATTTAGGTATCGTTCTCAGAGCTGCCCCACCCAAACCCAGCCATCATGCTTTTAAGTTCGTTACAAAGTGAGTATGATATTTTGAAACAAGACGGAGCATATGTTGAGATTGACTGAGCTCTTACAACCTTGATTAATACTTCTTTACTTGCACCTAAGAATAAGATAGTTTGTCCTACCATTCTTGCATCCATTCTGTCTAATGGTAACAAAATTCTAGTACTTCGGCCTTCCAACAACAGAGGGTATACGCATGTATTTATCATGGCTGTCCAATCCAGCTGATAAAACTGACAGATTACCATATCTCAAGTCTTTAAATGCTTCAAATGACAACAAAAAATTTAAAAAAGTCACCTAGTCACAATGCAAAATCTGGAGAGAATTAGATATATGTAAGCTTAATCCCGCATACAAAGAAGCTATTTCGGCTCAACCCTGGACATTCAGGAACAACCTCAGCATTACACGAAGCCAAACCCTCAAATGATAACCGGGATTCTTTTATCAAAAAGCACAAACAGACCCTGAGAACCATGAAAAAACTACCACCAAGATCCAAAAAGGAGAAGAACTAGCTTCATCGAGATTAAACTGAAATTTGGGGAACAATCAATAGCTTGCTTGCTTGCTTGTTTTTTAATTTTCACAAGGCTTTATGGGCCCTTCCAAATCACCCTGAGGTCTTTTAAGCAACCTAACCTTGCAATGAATTATTATATACAACAAAGAATCTAGAGCTTCCTTTTTGCAACAACGGAGATTATAGTCCCGACTCGGAACCCCTACACATTCCAATGATGTTACAACCAGAACCTCATAGAACAACTTGGATTCGAGTAATCACACAACGTTTGCAGGATTTGGATTCTTAGTAATGGGGCTTTCAGAACCTCTACTATAAATGTCAAATGGAGGATTGAAATCTCCTCCAGCCAGGTCATCCATGTAAAAGGTCCGGGACAATCTATGAGAGCTATTCAATTCCAAATTATGTTCTTGCTCCTCGAAGCTTCTATCTGAGAAATTATCGTAATAATTATGAGGGTTGCTGTTGAAATTCGGAGGTTCAAGAAAACTTGTCTGAGGGTCTATGCCTTGTGTATGATTTCTAGCCCACCAATGGCTCCTAGTAGGATGTGCCATATTGCTATCCACACGCTGTTCTTGTACACTTTCTCGGAAGAGAGTAGCTGATGTAGAAGCTTCGAGATGACTCCTAGGTCGGTCTTCATAGAGGTGCCGCCAGTTTTCTTCATATATTGCTTCATTTTGTGACAAGTGGAACGGCGTCAAAAGATCTCTTGGGCCTTCCTCAATGTCAAAAGGTCCTGATGGAATGCCAGTCGAATTCTCAGTTGCAAGGTGAGGTCGCGTGGTATAGTACCAATCAAGAATATATGAATAATTCTTTTGATCCCCATTGATAGGCCACATTGAACCTAATCGATAGCCAGTTTCCGGATTATTAAGAGGCATTTCCCTCGAGAGGAAGAAATTTCTGCGACCGTAGCCTCTCAAATTCGGGGTCCGTTGCTGTACTCCAGGGGTTTGATATGCAGGCCCGGTGTCCTGCCCATGTAACTTTTGCTCCGTGAATGTTTTGAGCGTAGAAAGGAATTGTTTTCCCACGGAGTCTGGTTCCCATGAAGGATAGTTACTGTGAAAGCTGCAAGCAAAGTAGAAGATTCAATAGAAGTTGTGGAAGTGACATAAAAGTCAGAACTATCAGGGATCTAATCAAATCTAACATATAGCCAGTAGATACAAGTAACCAAGTAATTACAAGAAAGGGTATGCTAAAATGCAACAATTATACCTCAAGAATGATTTCTCCATTTTCCCCTGGGAACTCCTTTGAATGCGAGGTGAATTGTAAGGTGAACCATAACTGCTATTGCCATGGTTTTGAAAATCAAAGACGCTAAAGCTGCCAGAATACGAAACTAAGTAATAAAAATTTGATCATTGCCGAGGTAAGCAGCATAAAAAGAACCCATACCACCAAAACAGAAATCTTTAGAAAATAAAAGTTAAAAGGGTAAAACACTAGCCTGCAAACATGACCAACACCTTCAACAGGCACAGTGAAATCCACTATGAACTTCAAAATATCATCCACCTGCTGCAAAACTAAATATCTCAGTTCCAAAACAAGCACTACTAGCAGAGGGAGGGAAATGACAATTAGAAATAATGAATAATCACCTTTGGTACAACAAATAATAGTAAGTACGGCGTGAGAAAGATTGAGGCCATCTCTTCCAGTAACATCATTCCAGTGTACTGCACCACAGGAAATCATTGAAATAAGTACCAAAAAATGTAAGGAACTACACTGCCCTATGGTAATTGGTAATGAATGACGGCCTACGCAATAACGCAGACAAAGATAGGTGGGGGAAGGGAGGGTACAAGACAAGAATTGAGAGCTTGATAAAGCATCCATCAAAACCACAACAAATTATAATGTTTTGGTCTATAAGAAGTAATTTCCATCTCTGCAAGAAGGACCTTGGACAATAAAATGAGTATGTATAGCTGCACAATCTCTGATTTGGCCACAAATCCAGTACACATTGCTGTGTTCCATGAACTGTGTAAGATATGTTGCAAAAGAAGCAACATGATGGCAGGCAATGCAGCTCAATACTTTTTTAACTATGTCAGTCGCATAAAAGTGCTCAAGAGTCCACTTTTCAAATTAGACTGAAATGGTTGCTAAATGGTGAGGTTGACTAAGAAAAGGTTCGAAGTCCAAATGTCGGTTTTGGATTTAGAATTACATGAAAGAATCATCAATTCATCAGTACCTGAAATAAAGTTTCGAATTCCATCTGCACGATAGCAGTATTTTCTTTTCCACGCCATCTTTTTGGCATATAGTGTGTATGTTGGACAACCATTGACATGGCTCCTTGGGCATCAAGGACCAGAAGCTCATCAGTCACCGCAGCCCGGCTAATAGCTGTTATGGTGCCGAAAACAGCAGCATACCAAAACAAGTTGCGACCGAATATCTGCAAGGTTTGAAATAACATTGCATGACATGGATGAGGTACCATCCTAAATTATGAATGTTCACATGGTCTAACATACAGTAGCGGCAATGCAAATGAAAATACATACGTGGCCCTCTAGCAAGGATTCCTCCAGGAATGCAATGATGATCAGAATAGCGGCAAAGCCACCAGAAATGAAAGAGATGAATTTTGCGACAATAGATATAATAGGAGAGGGGAATTGTCTTAAATAATCGGAAGCATGTATTACACTGCTGTTGATCCGGTGCTTGAACAAATGATCAACCTATGATTAAAAAGGAACAAATGATCAAACATGCAACAAAGATGGTAGGAGTTAAGTAACAAATGTACAGCTGTATTTATAGAACTGAGGCATAATGGAGATGAAAATTACAAATTTGGACGTCAGAAACTATGCAAATTAAAAAGGAACTACCTACTACAAACAAATTTTGAAACTACTAATTTCTGGATAACATAGCATGCCCCCAAGGTAGAATAGATGGTGAAATATCGATTCCACTGTCGTGACAAGAAGAGCACAAACCTGAAAATGTTTATAATGTAGAAATAAAAAAGTTGATTGGTCACTCTTCTATTGCTGATCTACATCTGTCAATTGTTTAGATGCATCTACCAATATAACAATTCTCCATGTGGTTCACATGAGATGAGATGAAATAACAAAAATTAATGTGTCTTTGATGTGGGATAGCTCACTTCACACCCTACCTGACATGCAACCCGGACTCGCAAGTGGCCAGACTGAACTGAAACAGGCAAACAAATAGAGTAGTGCCGATCCAGAATAGATAGATGAACAAACTGGGAATTCAACTGCACGACTTGGCCCATTATCTACCCTGGGCCCAGCTCTAATACTATCTTAGACCATCCAATCCAAAACCAATTGGCAATGAGTGGAATAGCCTCACAATTATATAAATCAATCTTAAGTCTACTTAATTTTCAATGGGATACATCTCTTCACAAATCTCAACCAGAGACCTGGATCACAGGTTGTCATACATTATTTGTTCATAACTAATGGAGAAAGCAGAGGACCATCAACTTGAAAACCCAAACCACACTGGAAGTCCTGATTCACCAGTTTATTTGACACAACTGCCACGTAACAAGTGATATTTTTGGGTGGAGTGCTGAAATGATGCACGCTAACAAGATTTTTCATTGTCATATGTTCATTTAATCATTTCACTATCAAAACTGTTTTAATTGCAGACAAATAACCTCTTGGTACAGTTTAGACACAGATAGCATATATTAATTTGTGTAAAAGACTTCCCCCAAGTAGCCCAGGGGACAATTGAACAGGTAGAGAAAAAAAGGAGAAAAACTAGTTCCGGTTAGTTCTATTGCGAATAAACATGTAGGAAGAAAGATACCTCGTTGAATTCCCTAAACATCCACTTTGACAGATTTGACCATCTTCGAGATGACGCCGTACTGGGGTGATTATAGAACTGTTCAGCATGCCTCAAGAAAAGATATACCAGCATGAATATGACTAGAAATGGGGAAAGGAGAAGCATTGCAAGCCCAACTACCACAAGCCTTTTCTTTAATGCTTTAGGATCAGAAACAAAGTCCCTCCGAAGACAAAAATTTCTGCAAAAACAACATACTTTTTTAGATCAGAAGATGATAGCTAAGCCCAAAAAATACATCATTCATAGCTTTCACCCAATCAACATTATAAAGTGAACAAAATATGAAAATTAAAAAAAAAAAAATGGCGCAGTTAAGATGGGTGTGTGACAATTGCTCAATTTTTGATAGTTGGCTTAGTAATCCGTTTAGTCATCCTGATCTTTCAGAAGCTCTCTTTTAGCAAAACACCTTTGCACTTCAACAACGCTTTAAGCATTGACGTTTGGGATAGTTTTGCATCAAGGTTTTACACAACCTGTCAATCGAGAAATTTGTTTCAGCAGAAACACCTGCTTTCAGATGTTTTCCCATGTTTCAAAAATGAATTCTAGAGGACCTATCAAAGTGCTCAAAATCAAAACCAAACTACATCAAAACGTCTGTGCCACTTTAATTACCCCTTTCCATGTGTACCAGCACATCATTAAATTGTCAACACAGGTGTTTGAGAAGATAATTAATAAAATGCGGAAGCAATTGTAGCAACCAAATGCATCAAGGCTGGAACTGTTCCTCATTTTTATTATCTACTCAACTGGGAAATTAAAAACTAAAAACCTCACCTGTCAAACATGCTCTGCAATATGCACCAATTTAAAATCCATTCAAGGGTCTTCGTTAATATTAATCGGTTTATTGTACCATTTGGGCCAAATCTGACAGCTGGACCAGCACCAGGGACCCACTGAGAAATTGGAAAAGCAAGCACCCCTTTATTGAGCATCCCAATCAGATAATTCTCCTTCCGCATCAATCGCATAACCACATCATGGGCTGAAAGATCCTTGACTACACACAATTGTCGTGAACTTTGTAACTGAACAACTTTTTCTAGAATTGATGCCCATGGCATGGTTTGTAGTTCATTGTCTTTGACGTGAAGACTGCACAGAGATGCTAAACTTAAATGTGCACCATAAAAAATAATAGATATTATCACATTTTACATGGTAACAATTAAATGGCATAAAAAAACTGAGGCTAATGAAACATGAAGCCTAACCCCCCACCCCACAAAAAACAAAAGTGAGATGGAAAAATTTCGGCTTTCAGAGAGGGGGAAGGGAAGAGGATGGAGAAACATTACATTACATCTATATAGAAACACAACGCATATCTTGGGAAACATTTAAGCTCCATATCACAGGCATACCTGTCATAATAAAATTGGCGGATTTTTAGTGTGTCCCTTAATTGAGCAAAAAATCTTAGGAAACAGAAGATCAAATAGATGGAAAATATTCCCAAATATCCCACGATTATAGCTTTGGAAAGCGTAAAAGGAGTTAATGGATGCTGATGAAGTGCCTCCTTAGCCAAATCACAAGGTTTTATTCCAGATTCCACTGCATCCATCCCACACTTCGCACTTCGAAGGCCATTCCAATCAACATATAATAAGAAAAATCCTGAGAAACATATGGTAAAAGCAAGGCTCAAGAATTCGAATATCCACTTCACAATAATGCACCAAAGCCCCTTCTCGCAATAGTAGCTGTAAAGCCTCTCGAAGAACAGGTCTAAATCAGCAATGGGTTCAACATTCAAGCTCTCACCATTTAGAAGCCCAGAAGGGCTTTCATTATCAGGACTTGGTACTCTTTGGTAGTCAGACAATTCAATTTCATGAGGCACATCATCAATCAATCCAGTTGTTAAAGATGATTCACGATGCCATTTCCATTTAAATATGCTAAGAGCATTAGCACTCTTTTGCCCACTGAACATCATTCAAAAACTGTGACAGTAGGCAAATACAACCAGTCCATCCCCCAAGGTGCTTGAATGGTTAAAACAGAGAGCTGGAAAAAGCAAGAGATCATATTAGTCACCCTCTAATCTACAATGTCTCAGAAAGTAGAAACAGCAGCACAGTTAGGACAATCTGAATAACGATACACAAACGAAATGTGCTTTATCTGCAATGATAAACTGATAAAGCCACTACATAATAAGCATCATGGTCAAGTCACGAATGTAACTGACCCAAATCTTATTGGAATTTTGCAAAACCTTGTTATGTCAACAGAAATATGTATATCAAGTAAGTAGGATTTTTTCCCTTACTCCAAGCATTCTATTGGAAGGCAATTGAAATATCTTATATGCCCTCAAATAATGGTTTCATTAAAATGTATAGAGGGACGAAATGAGAAAATTGAACATTCAAATCCAACAAAGCAAGGTGGGGCATTCCAAAGAGTCAAAAACTTCCCACTTATTTCTTTTTACTGGGGCAATGTACCACATAATGTCTTGTGTGTTTTTTATATTATTTTAGAACTTCCCAAGACAAATGTCAACATTCTTCAATGCCAACATAATTCTATTTTCACAGCAGTAAGGTGCCTTCTCAAAAGTCAAAACAACAGCACTTAGATTTGAAAAAATTTTGGGCTAATATGTATGTTCAAAATTTGACCAGCTGAACTATATTAGGATCAGTTTTTTAGAGGCTAATATGTATGTTCAAAATATATCAAAAAATGCATTCTGCTTAGAGATTTTCAGGATTTGGTGAGAGTTCAGGTTCCTCTCTGTATATTAAGTGGCAGCTGATGGTGTCATTCAAGTACCATTCTCACAAGAATCACTAAATTGTTAGTTTTAAAAACTAAGTAATATTGACAAACAGACTCAATAACAATAACCTTTTTTAAAAAAAATTCTGTTGCAGGCTATGAAAACTATCTTGCGAAGGGAAATATTGTTTTTGCTATGACTTTAGAAAACACGTTTGCTTCGGGTAGTATCTTCTCTAGTAGTATCTACTATCTACAATATTTTGCAGAAGTTTTTTTATGCTAATCATTCTCGATTCCTCAACTCATTCTCGATTCCTCAACTCATTCCCAATTCCTCAACCATGTTTAGTTTTCAAGCCTACACATTTGGTATCAAGTAATACAAATGGTCTTCTTCTTCATTCTTATTAGAAAAATGGTATTCTTCTTTACAAGCTCTGACCTGATTGGATAAGTCTAACTAATAGTAATCCAGGCTTTTTAATGTATTAAGTTTAAAATGGGACATGGACCTGTACAAGCCTACTAGGAAGTGATTTTCCTTGAGAGTATACTGAACACGATCATTTATATAATGTACATCAGCAAATGCTCATACACCTTCTAATGAAGCTGTGATATTCATTAAAAGTATATTAAACACCTAAAATTGTTTATGTCCAGTATATCACCCAATGCTCATACATCTGCTAATCAGCAATACCACAGAGCCCATTACATAATGATTGCAATGGATAACAATCATATATGTTCAATTTTCAGCATTGGTAAAGTTAAAAGAATACATCAGTCACAACCAAATTAAAGAATTCAGCAATTAGGAACAATTACAGGAGCAACTAAACAGTAAAGGCCCAAGCAACATAAACTAAGTAATTACACAATTCAGAATTGAAGCAAATCAGTAAATCGACTAAGCAATTTTTCTTGGAAAACATTAAGCAAATTAGAACAACCCCATTAAGCAAACAAAGCTACAAAGAAATTGAAAAATCAACTAGTCAAGCAATTAATCATATAAATAACACACCAAAAAAGAAGAAAGAAAACGAAAGTTCAAACCCCCAAAAATACAATCAGAATAACCACTTAGTCTAAAGTCTGGTTGCTCAATCAGAAAGAGCAAAATATGTATAAAATCAGAATAGCCCCCAAATCCAAGGTCAGGTGCTTAATCAGAGAAAGAAAAAATCTATAAAAAAAAATCCAAAATAGCCCCAACCCAGTTCAACGTATCTTTTCTGAATAAGAAAGGAAGCATAGTTATGCAAAGAATTAGGGGAAGAAACAGTTTCAGAGGTTCATAATCAGTGAGAAAAAAATTGCAGAGAGGGTGAAGAAGACGAAAACTTTGAAGGAAGAATGAAAAAATGACTCACCGGGTGGAGCTCGTCATCATCGGTCGGTAGCGTTCGTCAATTTGTCAGAGAAGAGGGAGAGAGAGAACAAAGAGACTCCGGGAAGGAAGCGATCTTTCGGATTATTTATTAGACTGAAAAGGGTGGGACGTACAAGCTTATATAATGTGTTTGGGTAAACGACACTTTGAACCCTAAACATCTTTGTATTTTTAATCTATACCTAAAAATATTATAATTCTTATATTACACCCTCAATCAAGTAAAATAATAATAATAATATAGTCAAAAACAAAATATTAGTTGCATTTTTTGATCATTTTTTATTGTATTTATCATAATATCTTATTTTTGATACACAATTATTTTTATAATATTTAAGGTTCCTTTTTTTTTTTTGGGTAAAAAAAAATTATCATTCACCCAGTTTGTTTTGGTGTGGCGTGCCAAACGGTGAACAGAAAACAAAGAGGTCACACCTCACTAGGGAGATAACTTGGCCGAATAACACACGACTTGCGAATCTTAAGAAAATTAGATCTACTCGATCATCAAAATTTTATTTTAAAATAATTAGAACTCTGTAATATTTTTGTTTTTAAAAAGATTAAAATAAATATTAAAATTTCAATAATTCAAAATGTTTCATAATGTTTTAAAATATTTTAATATATTTTTATCAATGTTTGAGAATGTATTGGGTTGTTTCAAGTTGTTTATGTATATTAGCAATGCATTATGTGTGTTACTCGTAAATAATTTTTTTTAAAAAAAATAATTAAAACATATCGGATATATGTGTATTTAAATTAAAAATCATCTCAAATTTATTAAAATTAATTTTTTATTACTCATATTCTATTATAGGATTATGAAAACTTTGTATGTTCATAAAATTCTTTGTTCTAACTATAAGAAAAAATATTTAAAAAAAAAATTTAAATATATATATATTTTTAAAATTTTGTGATTGAGACTGAATATTTAGTGATGTTTGATAAATTAATTTTTTGGAAATTTATTTTATTAGGATTCCACTTATAATTTCATGAATAAAATAAAAGTAATTGCAGTATACTAATCATATTATAACCTCACTGTAATTATGAATTAATTTGGTGAATTTGGATAAGACTTAATATACTACTCTATAATATATATTATCAAGCATATTAAAATTCTTAAAAATTAAATTTTTCTTAAAAGTACAATAAAATATCCATGGACGAAGTTAGAAATTAGCTCAAGAGAAGGGCACTTTAACTAAGCCCTACTTTTTTTTTTGATCAGTAGTGTTCGAATTAGTTTACACGTATCTCGACTAAGCCTGACTTTATAACATTAAATAATTAATGACTTTAGGCTTTCACAAAGACGACTATAATTTTATGTATATTAATAACATGGTGTAGATTACAAATATAAACTATATTAAAATCCAAACCATTCATGAAAAAGTTTTCATAGAAGCGAAACATCAAAAAAAAAAATCTAAATACAAATGAAAAATGTCATTTGTCTCAATTGAGAATCAATTTGAACAATAGATTTGTCTTAAATTGTTTCTCGTCGATATTAGAAAATTAAATAAGAATTCAATAAGTAAGCGTAATAATACCATTATAATTCAATTGAAACAAGTCAATCATTAATCTTAGAAAATTAGAGATCAATTTTAGGCAAATTATAAACAATTTAAATTTTGAATTACAAATTATGAATTTAGAAATAAAAGAACTCACAAAAATATACAAATTAAAACTAATTTTAAGGGTGAAACACAACTTATATATTTTGAGGGTGGGCTCGTGCTCACCCTAGCCCTTACGTACATATGCCCATGACAATATCTATTTTTCATATAAAATTTTAGTATAACTTAAAAAGTTTATTGTGACTGAAAAATTATATTGATGTAACATAGATTGATTTTAAAAAAATTATATATACAATTATTTTTTATCTTAGAAATGAAATGGTTAAACTTTTTGATGAAAAAGAAAATACACATATGTAGGCATAAGTTATATTTGTATATGAGATAAATAATATTAGATGGATTGAGATTTTTAAGGGTAATATAGTTAATCAATTTTTTTTTTATCGAATCTTATATTTATACATAAAAAATAGATAATTAAAAGAAATATTAGAGATAATTTATAAATTTAAATAAATAAGGATATGATAATAATTTATATATTTAATTGTGAAAGGGTATAGTGGTTTTTGTAATTCTTTATAAGAATAAAATAGAGATTCAAAAATTTTTCATGTTAAGATACTTTTATTAATAGAGATAATTAGATAGGTAAAGATAAGGATATGATGATTAGGTAAATCTTTAATTGTGAAAGGATATAGTTGTCTTTACAATTCTTTATAAGGACGAAATATAGATTCAATTTTTTTTTTCATGTTAAGATACTTTTATTAGTAGTATATATATCGATTTCAATCGATGTTTCAACATACTTTGAAAATTAATCTCAAATTAATTTATTTGTTTGCATTATATTTTTAAACATTTTTGAAACGTTTCCCTTTTTTTAGCAATTGCAATAATACACAAAACGAAATTTTAATCCTTGAATTTAATGTGAGCAAGTTTTCTAAAAATAATCTAAATGTTGAGTTAGTGGACAGAAGCACATAGTTGAATTAGTGATTTAACAAAAACTAAACTTACTAATTATTTTTCTAAAAATTTAACAAAACACGTGCGACTTGGGCTTTGCACATAAGCCTACAAGTGTGTGCGTGAGTGAAAAAATTGCAAATCAAATTAAAAAAAAAGGTACAAACTATACTCTTTTTGTTCTTTCTTTCTTTTTTTCCCACATAGGGTTGGGGTTATTGCAACAAATAACTCCAACTCTTGTGATCTTATTTGTGAATTACGATCATCTATTTTCATGTTTTTTTTTTTGAACTCGTCTCGAGAGAATATCATATTTAAGCACACATCGTATCAGTATTTAAGCACGAATCATGCTCAGAGAGAGAATATCATATCAATATGTTAAAAGTGGGAAATTTGTTTTTACTTCCCTTTAACATATTTAGTTTAGGACTAATAGTGTTGATGTATAAAACAGCTTGCTTGAGATGGCCTTACTTTCGGCTTGTGTGTGTTTTTCCTTTTGTGTTAATGAGTTATTTGGATGAATAATATAGTTGAATCCTCTGAATTTAGGAGAACCTATTTTTTTTTTTCAATTTGGTCTCAATCCCAACTTGACAATAGATGATAGAAATTGAGAAATATTGTCCAAATTTCCAGAAATCTCGTGCCAAGGGTTCATAAACTAGTCACCAATAACATAAGGATGTCAAGCACCTTGATCTACTAATTCCAAAGGACTATTTACTTAACACAATGGGGTTTTGCTCAGCTCCTTGAAGCTCATATACCTTCAAATAAGCCAACATCAATAGCTCCTTCAAGTCCAATGTTAATAGCTCAACAAATCAAGGCTCTACCACTACATTAGTAGACAAATCCGAAAGGAATTCAGGACACTGGGAAATTCAGTTGATCAGAGCGAGCTCATTTTGGAAGCTCTGTTGCTCTGTTTTAAGTCTCTGCATTTTTCTTCATATCAATAGGTAAGCCAAACATGACTGATTAATGGACTAGAACCCAAAAGAGATTAGGAGGCTCCAGCCAAATTGAGGACTTTGATCTTCAACTTGAACTTTCATTGCAAAATTGCACTTCTTTTTTGTCTTCCGTTTTCTAGTAAGATTTTAATATCATCATTTGTCAATTTTTAATCCCCATGTTCGGCATGCTAAAAATAACAGGTAGCCAAATGACGCCATTTCTTTTGAAGGGTAGTATTGGAACCCTTAACATACCCTTTTTTTTCTATCCCCAAGGTAACAACTAGTATTTTAGTAATTGATCTTACTAATATAGGTTGATCTCATGGGTTTTTCTTTTTGTTGTTCTTTCTTTGTGACTAGTATTGTTGCAAAACTGTTATCCTCTAACCAATCAAACTATTCCAATAATGTTGTAGAACCTGAATTCTATCACGAGTTCGCTCGCCTGCATTACCCAAGGCCAACCACATCTATTGATATATTTATACTATAGATTACATTACACGTAAAGCAAATGACTAAAGTAACCCCACACATATAAATGTGATCTTTTATCTCTCCTGCAATCGTTGCTGGGTTGGAAAAACTGAGAGATTGGACCGAAATTCTTTAAACTTTGCAGAAGGTAAACTTTTGGTTAAGATGTCTGCAAGTTGTTCATGGGTGGAAATATGTTAAACACGATGAGTACCCCAAGCAATGCATTCACAATCGAATGAATGTCAATTTCAATATGTTTAGTCTATAAATGTTGAACAAGATTTGTGGCAAGATAAGTAGCACCAACATTGTCACAATAAATCACTGTCGGTTTTGGGAGATGAACATGAAGATCCCGTAATAGATAGTATAACCAACAAGTATCAGCTGCAATTTGAGCAATTATACAATATTCTACTTCAACACTTGAATGTGAGATGGTGGATTGCTTTTTAGCAAACCACGAAATCAAGTTGGATCTGAGAAAAACACAATAACTAGTGGTGGACAGGCGGGTGTCCGGATAACCAGCTCAACCCGCATAAGAGAAAGCAGCAATATGATCAAAATCATCTTTGTATAGGTGAAGACCAAAATTCATGGTACCCTTAAGATAACGAAGTGTTTGTTTGACAGCCACAAAGTGAGATTGACGAGGAGCGTGTATGTGTTGACACACTTGATTAACAGCAAGTGTAATGTCAGCCGTATGAAAGTGAGTTACTGCAGAGCACCCACAATGCTATGATAAAGAGTAGAATCGGGATGAACAGAAGGTAGAGATTTACTCACAATAGGAGTAGACACAGGTTTGGCAAAGGATAAAGAGCTTTGATGCAAAAGATCATTAACATATTTGGTTTGAGAAAGAAAAAGACCATTGTTGTTTAAAGTAGCGGTGATGCCAAGAAAATAATTAAGAGAACCAAGATCAGACATGGCAAATTCAGATTACATGGAGACAATGAAACGATTGAGAAGAGAATGAGAAGAAGCAATGAGAATGATATCATCAA